GTTTTTGGTTTTTTTTTTTTTAATGTTTATTTATTTATTTTGAGAGACAGAGAGAGCCTGAGCAGGGGAGGGGCAGAGAGAGAGGGGGAGAAAGGATCTCAAGCAGGCTCCGTGCTGTCAGTGCAGAGTCCTATGCAGGGCTCTATCTCACCAAGTGAGATCATGACCTGAGCTGAAATCGAGTCAGACGCTCAACTGACTGAGCCACCCAGGTGCCCCTTGACATTGTGTTTTTAAGCTATCCTCAAAAGACTGAAGAATTCCCAAATTAAACTTTTTCTTGAAAATTAATTATCTAAGTGGCAAAAAATAACTAAAAATCAAATGCAATTATTTGCTTAAAATTTTGAATGTTAGTATACCAATTCTGTAACTACTGGAATTATGAATAAATGTATTTATTATTCTGCCATGTACTGCTTTAAATGTTTTTATGCGTTTAAGATATTCTTCTAGATGTTAGCTAATCTAATATTCTTACCATCCATTTTCCTGTTATTCAACTGTAAGAAATTTCTCAATATCTGCTTCTGCACATAAATTTAACAGTTTTCACAATCAATAATTTGTTGCACTTTCAAAATACATTCACATTAATATTTTGGCTGACTAATAGAATTTGGCACATAAATCACATTCATTCAGTTGAATATTCAGCAGATATTTATTGAGCACCTTCCAAGTGCCAAGTACTATTCTAAACACTGGGACTTCAGCAGTCAGCAAAACAGACAAAAATTTCTACTTTCATCAGCTTACATTTTTGTGAGATTTTTTTGCACTTCAGTTTATATCCCAAATATTTACCTTTATTTACAAGTGAATGTTCAGATATGAACAGTAAGTCTGAATGATTTGCAGTAGAATATTATGTGCCCATCAGATTGTGTGTTCCCCTTTTCACAGTATGGAATTCTTTTGAGCAATTGCTACCCAAGCAGGAATTTTATTTCCCAGGCCCTTATATCTTTGGCTGTGCCTTTGGTGTCAGTTCTTGCCAAAGGAATGACAACAGAATTGTTGTGTCACTTCCAGTCCAGGGTATTTTAGAATTGGGTATACCTTCTCTATGTTCTCTTTACCTTTTGCTGGCTGAATGAGGATGACAGTGAGGTCCTAGGGGATGATGGAGCACAGAGGGAAAGAGCCAGCTACAGATTCACTTTAGACAGGAAAGGGGGGGGGGGGGTCTAAAGACCAGTAACTTAGAGTTTATTGTGACCAAAAAAAACAGCCTTTCCGGTGTTAAGACAGTGAAATGTGAGTTTATTTTAGCAATTAGTATCACCATAACTAGCATACTTGTCTGGTTAACGTTGCAGACATTGTTAATCTGAAGAGATATGATATCTACCTGAAAATAGAACCATTATCATTGATCTAGCATAATTTGAGGGTTGCCAAAAATGATATTAAAGAAGAAAGTTAGATATTCAGCCTTCCAAAGGGTAAGGCCAACACCTAACAACAGATTTTTGCTGAATATTGAGCCAACATAAAATTAATTGAATCCCTAGCAGTTAGTGACTTAGAAGTGGGGGGTGTGGGGTTGTAAGAGAAAGTAGGAGTAATCCTGGTCACACTTTGGCCCACGAACCATATTTATATAGTTACAATGTTAAACAGTTACTATTGGAATTCTGATAAAATAAAGATAAGGAATGTGGAGTGGGTACAGTATAGGAAGCCATGGTTTTCATTCAGTATAGTAGCAAGCATAAAATGGGTCAGAAAATAATACATACATACTTTATATGTTCATACAGAAAGAGAATTTGTTGCCTCTGGAAGTCGAACCAGTGGCTAGAAACAGGTGGGAGAGAGACTTCATTTTTTTCGTTTTTGAATGTCCCTTATATATTGATTGCCATGGGAGCTCAGAGAGAGCATCTCTGACTGGAATAGTCAGGTCAAACCTGCCTCAGAAGCGTGATCTGAGCTGAAACTTGGTGGATGACAGGTTTGAAATAGGAGAAAGGACAAGAAGGACATTATAAGGCAAGACCTAGAAGAAACTGACAAGGTTTGTTAGAGCCTTTAATGGCAATTTTCAATTTTCAAAGTGGGACCTGGTACCATCCACAACAGCATCACTGAAGTGGTTATTTAAATGCCTTACTCATGGGGCGCCTGGGTGGCACAGTCGGTTAAGCGTCCGACTTCAGCCAGGTCACGATCTCGCGGTCCGTGAGTTCGAGCCCCGTGTCCGGCTCTGGGCTGATGGCTCAGAGCCTGGAGCCTGGTTCTGATTCTGTGTCTCCCTCTCTCTCTGCCCCTCCCCCGTTCATGCTCTGTCTCTCTCTGTCCCAAAAATAAATAAACGTTGAAATAAATGCCTTACTCATACCTACTGAATCATAATTTCTCCTATGAGGAGACTGAAATACTCAGGGTCCTGAGTTCAAACTCCATGTTGGGTGTAGAGCTTACTTAAAAAAAAAAAAAAAGTTATAAATCCATGTAAATACTCTAGACAATACTTGGAAATATATTGCAGAAACACCATAGATGATTTAAGGGGAGAAAAAAAGTAGTCAGTTTCAAAAAGAGAAATTGAGAAATTGCTACATTGAAATATTCGACCGTATATGGGTCAGTCATATTACCGATACTTAACTCAGTTAAAAACATTGGAGTTTCCATTGAGTGCTGAGCACTCTATTGCTGTTACAAAGAGAATTAAAAAGCATCCGTTCCATTCCTTTTTTGAGTGTTGGAGAGTTCTACTGTTTAATTCTCTTTGAACTCTAGAAAAAGACCAGAAAGGCAACAGTATTCACTTCCTACCTGTTTACCCTAAGGCAATGTCCAATGTACTTTGCAAATTGGTTAATATTTCAGGTATTGAAAAGACCACTTCTGCCATGAACTACTCTTAGGTGAAGTACTCTACTCTTTTATCCCTGTGTTTCACACCTTTGTTACCACTAATGCAATTTTAAGGTAGGAAGATGAAAAAAAAAAAAAAAAAACGACCAATGCTAGAGTTCCTGGACTCAGTTCCCACAGGCTGTTTCCAGAACTGTATGGAACGCATGGTGTTCATACTAATATTAATGTTGATGAGGGATAGAAGCACAAAAGTGTTCACCTTTAGCCCAGAAGGCTGATCTATAGGCTATATAGTTCCGATAAGGATCAAATTACAGGCTGGTTGCTACTTTCTTAAAGGGTGTCATGACTGACTATATATCTCACCAATAGTTAATATCTAACTGAATGGTAAACACCAGAGAAATCTTTCAAAAGTAGTTTTATGAGTAGAAATCTGAAGAAGACGTTTAGGATCTAATACTCCCTGTACGTCCCCTCCCCTTTGAGCACTAAGCATATAATTACCAGCTTCATACAGCAAAAGTGCAGCTCTTTTCTGCC